GATTTTTTTCTAATTGCCTGCCAACCCTAATTAAAACTTTTAAATGAGAATAAAACTGACAACCTGCAAAGCTTCAATTACACAGCCTTCTGCTGTGTCAGCTGCTTGTAATGAATATCAATATTTCCTTTTAGCATGTTCAGATAAATACCAGGTCATTAGACAGTGGGATGCTAACAAAATTTTACGTCACAGTTTTCATGGCCACAATAATTGCAATTCACAATATGGTCTCAATAATCATCCAAATAAGCTTAAAACTTTTAAAATGGCACTAAAACATACTGGAGTCATTTTACCTTACATTTTAAGAAACAATTTTGTCGCAGCACAGATGGGACACACATTTTTTTTTAGCGAATAACAATCCTTGAAGGCCAGGCTTTGCCACTACTTGAAATGACATCATAGTTCGGTATGAAATATGCTGATGCTGGATTAAGATCTTTTGCATTTTTGAGGTTGGTGTATATGCAGCCTGTTTTTTCAGTCTCTTTTATTGTTGATTGTCCAACTGTCTCTTTAGGTGCTGCTGGACATGAATATCCCGATAAAGGAAATTCACTTATTTTAATTGTTTATATCATGATCCACAATAAATCTTATATTGCCCCACCCCTATTCCTAATCTTTGTTTGAGTGACATATCCGGTATCTAATTACACAGTGGGCACATTGAAGATAAGAGCACTCTGTTCAGCTCGAGGATTGTCGACAGTCACCCTGCAGGTGCAGCCTAATGGGAAGTCTCCCTCACTATGCTACAGGGAAGGGAGATGAAAATTGTGTCTGACTTTTGGGACTCATTATTGTGCACCTTTGTTATGGTGACTGTAATGTGAAACACTGTGCAAAAAGGGGAAAAAACCTGTCGGGCCAAGAAACTCGCCCCGTTAGAATCTCTTTTCCAACTTCAGTCAAAGAGTACAAAGAGTACAAACACATTTTGTGTGGGGGTGCTCTACCTGTGGTGAAGGTAGTGGAAACTACGGCGCTGGTGTCAAGTCCTCTTGCAGCCTGGAGCTTGACGGTGTACTCTGTGGTCTCAGCCAGTCCCTCCAATCGTATCCATGTGTCCTCTGCATCAAGGATCAGCTCCTAGCACGCACGCACACGCACACACACACGCGACCAAATTTAGCCACATACTTGTGAAAAGATATTAGATAAAGATATTTCATTCCAAAACAGCAATACTTTGTGCATTCAGTAAAACCTCAGGGTAAAAAACAAATTTTATTAGAATCCCCACAGGTCACTGATAAAACATCGAATTGAACTTGTACGTTTTCAAAGAGACCTCTGGCAACAAAGAAACGTTCAAGCTATTTTTGTTCAGGAAATGCACGACAGTCTGCTTTAGCTCCTGTCGCACAGCAACACAATCAGGTGATGTTTATTCAGAAGGATTAATAAAAGGGGATGTTAGGTCGATTTACTGTGCTAGTGAAGTTTTATAAGTTGGCTGTTCCCATATGAAACATTTAAATCAGATGAGGAGAAATATATTTTATTATTCTGTTTTGTAGCAGTGTTTTTTAGTGTGTAGTTCATTTGGATTTTTTTTGCACACAAATTTGAAAGTATATAAACAAACTTATAAAATTGTAACTGATTGTCTTGGATTGGCATGACACAGTAGAGCTGTCAATCTCCCTCTATAACCCCATTAGAACTTCATTCATTTTTAAACATTCAAATTACATGAGAATTTAAATTGCTCAACTTTAGCCTGTTATTGATATTTATGATGTACCTACATATTGTATAAACAGTAGGGATGGTTTTCGATTTTCGAATAGTCGTTTTATTTTTGAAAAATCGATTTTTTAATGCGACTATTACTATTTGCCGTCTTATTTCCCCCCCTTTATTTGACATGCAATTCAGCTCCTAACTGCACAAGGGCAGTCTAGGATTGCTACAGCGGTGTGAGACGCTCTTCTTCAAACAGGAGAAACATGCAGAGACTAGTACTCCGTGAGGTATGTCCGCAGTCATTCGGGCTTTCATAGTCGAGCGCACTTCCACGTTGTAGTTTCCTGTCAGCACGTGGTGTTATACATTCTGTGCACTAGAGGGCATTCCAACATTACCAAGAAACATTTGCAATTACCAACAGGTAATAGCTCTCTTGCTAAGTAATATTTCATTTCCTTTGAGCAAGTGGCTGAGATGTTTTACATGCGTGAGAGCTGAACTAGTCCAAAATGGAAAATGTAAGAAAGTTAAAGCTTTCACACAGTCATAAATACAGCCTCGGATTTGCTGACAGACTGAAGCCCCGATCACACAGAAAGCGTTTTAACTGCTGGAGGCGCCCCCCACATTTCTGTACTCCAGGTGCCTGCCGTTTTCGCCGTATCACTCTGAACTCCTTGAGCTGCAAAACTTCAACTCAGAGCGGAAAAACGTCTCATGTCATTTCTTTTTTCATCATATTTTTTCCCATTGTCCAATTGAATGATTTGAGAGGCAAGCCTTTTGTGGTGATCACAAAAACAAGTCTACAGTTGGTAAACAATGTTGGGGAAACTGGTGGTGGCTGTTGCTGGACACCCAAAGCTATACAGCCTGACAACAGACAGCAGGTTGTCAAACTGCCCCCGAGTCATCCCAAAATATGCCTGGAAACGGCCATCATCAAGGTGATGCTCTTGGACCAACCTGTAGTACTCCCCATGACCCACCCTCTTTTTCAAGGGTCTCATGTACCCACACAGATCTCCGTTTATCTGTGCCCAACAAAGTATTTGCTGACAGCCTCTCATCCTCAACCAGAGAGCTTGCTAGAGCAAGTACCCTCTGCCTTGCCATTTTAGTAACTAGCTACTCATTACTCTAAAACAACAATTTGCAACCTGCAAAACACTTTCTGTTTGATCGTGGCCTAAGGCATCATGGACGGTTAGTGGACAGCTAACGACAACAATACTTGTTTTCAACACAGAAAAATTGATAAATAACCACGAAAAACATTCAGTATCGGATTTATCATTATGGATTAATTTTACAATGCCTCCAAAAAGACGCCACAATTCATGACTGGATTACAAAGCTTCCAAATGATCACACTGGAGCCCTGGTTAGAACGGCACAATGGTTACTGTTAGCTTCTGGGCTAAAATAAGTCTCACATGCAGCGTTCCATAGATAAATAATGTTAGTAACTTATATCATATACGACGTGGTCCACGCCAGAGTTAACTTCCATAGTGTTCTTTTTCCATTAGTCATGTTCAACAACACTTGGTGGTGACACAGACACACGCAGCTCAGCTGGTAAAGCTACACTTCAGCGATACAGTGTGCAGTTTAATTTCATCAGACGTGACAAAAACCTTTCATTTTTATATGCGGGTCTGCCAAAGCAAGGCTGATGTTAGCTAACACATTCATAAAAAACAATAAAATACACATTCAAATAGTAGTAACATCATGTGATTAGCGTTAACTGTTATACTTTTTCATTATTTGAATCCCAAAACTCGTTTCAACAGCCGAGTGACAGAAATAAAAACGTAGTTGTTAAAGTTACTCTTCCACTGACTGCAGAAAAGGTCTGTCTGCCTTTGTTTTCCATGTGAAAATTGACTGAGCCATAGAAAAACAGAGGGGGAGGAGAAGAGGGGGCAACTAGACACAGAGAACAAGATAAAAGACTCTTATCGGACAGCCAAGCTGAGAAGCTGCTCAGCAATCAGAAAACAAACATTTCTATTTTTGGTAAAGAAGTCACAACAGTACAGTGCAGTTACTTCACTTTGGTTTTGATAAATTCTCTTTAACTGAGTCTGTCTTAAGGAGCCAAGACGTTTGACCGAGTATTTCTGTGACATCAGTTACTTAGATGAGAGATAAATCCACTGGCAGAATGCTCAATAGATGAACACAACTTGTCTACACATGTATTTGTGTGCATATGTGTTACAGTTTGCCCTGGATACACATTAAATATGAAGAAGTTCAAATAAAATATTCAGCAAATTTGGAGAAAAAATCAAACATTTCCAGGCAATGTGTCTTTGTGAATAATGCAGGGGAGCAGCTGGTAAATGGTGTCTCTCTGTCTCTGAGGATCTGACATATTCCCACCAGGTTTTCAGGGTCACGATAATATTTTTATTGCAGGCGAAAAGGCCCTGTTTTATATATTTTTCATGCGCTCTCTATTGATTGTGTATGGGTTTTAGAGTGGTTGGATGTTTGGTGAATGTGTAGGTTTCCTGGTGTTTGTTTAAATGGGGAGATCTTAATTACTCCAGGCATGAACATATCCAACAGTGAAACATGCATTTTCAAACTGTTAAGTAAATGTTAATCAGATAAGAAATTAATCTCACAGCTACTTTGTGTAAATTACAAAAGTCCATTATCTCTGAGAGCGGAAGCTGGCTCAACAGCTGTAAGGCGCACCAATATGTGGGCAGATTACAGCCGAGGTAACGCCGCCACATATTTTCAGTCAAGCCAGACCTCAAGTAGAGACAACTGCAGGAAAATCTCACAATAAGTGCTTCAATCATCTGCTGCAGTGAGCGTTTTTGCTCTGAGCATGAATGAGTGATAAGACTCATTTCTTGTTGAACGATATGAGTTCAGAAAGCAGCACTTGTTGAGGCAGCTCGCCACTGAACGGGGATTTGAATAAAATCTAAAAGGACATGATCAAAGGTGGTGAGAAGAATAAAAATGGAATTGATTTTCAAATTCCAACTGGGTTTGGAAGATCTTTCAGAGTTATGACTTTATTTCTAAGACAACTGCTGTTTAATGTATTAATTTAATGAAGCTCAGCGTCAGTTCAATCAGGAAGACTTTCTTTATCCTATTATCCATTCACAGTTCTCTTTGTATCCCTCTCCCACCACTTCCACCAATCAGCTGACTATGGGTGTTCCCTCTCCCTGCTAGCCAATCAAACTTTGCTACGATCTCCTTCAGCCATTCATGTTGCTGCTGCCAAACTCAAAATCTGTTCTCCTCTCTGCCCCTGTCAGCTGCCATTCCACCCCATTCACTTCCTGTCATCTTATCCAGAGCCCAGGACAAGCTCATCAAAAGCCCATTTCTCTTCACGTCCAGATCCTCAACTCCATCTTCATCTCATCACCACCACCAGCGTCTAGACTCCATAGGGGAGGTTCCCTAATCTACTACGTCTTAACGACCCTCCTGGAATATATGACATCACGATGGGGTCTAATTTACAAAGACTTTTCACATTTCTCATTCTAATGTGCACATGTTAATAAATATTCTTTCCTCTCAGAACGAGTCGCTCCTGACAGAAATAGGAAACTACTGTATATAATTAACAAAGAATTGGGGTTGTTTTGGGTACTTATCCATAGTCAGTGTCTTAAAGACAGCAGATGGCAGTTTGGAGAAGCAGGCAGTAGTATCAGCACAGAAGCTGAGTAATGCACTAGTGTGGAAGAGGGTCAGCAGCAAAACATAGCCACCTAAGAAAGCCCACCTAGGAAAATTAATATCAGTTTAAGAGTACACTGTATTTAGGAAGTTTTCTCCACCTTACCTTGCTGTCAGACAGCTCTTTCCAGCAAGGAACTGAACTATAAACTGAAACTTATCTATGCTCTCTTCATAGTTAGTTTATGCTGCCTCCATCAGTTAGTTTGGTTGTGTTATTGTGTGACTGGCGTTTTAAAGTGGTTGGTTTGGATTCACCAAAGTCACACAATAACACAAACTAACCACTCGAGACAGTGGAAGACCTTCAGCTCCCATGTTCTGTGAGGCACAACTTCTGTTTTTGTCAGTGGAGTCTGGTGGCTTTGAAGAGAGCGTAGGTAAATATATGTGTCAGTTAAGTTCCCTGTCAGAAAGGGCTGTCTGGCAGCAAGGAAAAATGGTCAGAATATTCTAAATATAGCCTTCACTTCAACTGCTATGGATTTATTTTAGGTGGGCCATACTTTTTTTTTAATTTAACTAGGAAGAGTGATGGATGCAGTCTCAATTAACCCTTGTCTGATGATTTCATATAATTGAAACAGTCTATGAAAGGTTGCCAAATTTAGCAGAATTTCTAGTCTTGTTTTTTCAGAGATAATTTAATTTTCTGTGGTTCCAGGTGCTTCACTACAGCATTCATTAGATCCGACTGTGTTGGCACAGTTCTCTCTTTCCAGTTAAGATCAACTTGTGTGCTACAGGGCTGAAAAATGACAGCATGATGTGTTCCACACTGTCCTTTACTAAACAGGTGGGCTGTTTTTTAAGTGGCTAAGTTATGTTATGTTGCTGCCCCCATCCACAGCAGTACATTGTTGAGATACTATGGCGGTACTCCTGCTTACCTCTCCAAACTGGGGTCACGCCAACAGCCATCTACTGTAGGTATACACTGACTTTGGATAAGTACCTCATACAACACTTCAAAAAGTCTGAAGTATCTCTTTGTCATATTAGCAGTGAACTGTTTTGCCTTTAACCTAATGTTAATAACATATTATAAAAATAAAATAGACAGATCAAAAACTCTTTTCCCTCTGAAAGAGTGTGTCAGTGACCCACGTCAATGCAAAGTTGTTAATCTTAGGATAGCAAAGCAACGATCCGCCCAGTGCTCACTATGATTGGCTAGTGCTTGTTGCCTTCATTGGTTGGATTGGTTAGGTGTAGAGAAGAGGAGTGTGACTGGTTAGGGTTAGGGTAAGAAAGTCAGGGTAAGGCAGGCCATTCCTTCTCTATCCAAGGATTCACAAATTCACCACCGCAACAGAAGACCAAGACACAATGTATACAAACTTGGGCTGGAAACTGTTGCTTACTAGCTGTGTGCTAACAGTGTTTTTGTTTGCAGTGGTAGTGAAGAGTAAGGACACCACCACAGGGTGTCGACAGTTATCAGACAGTTCAATTTAATGCTTTTTAAGACCCGTCCAAGACACTTTTTAATCAAATTTAGGACAGATTTTTGGACAAATCATGTTTTAGTTATTTAAGCATTGCAGGTAAGCAAGTAGTATGTGTGTGGTGTTGTGCAGAGGTAGGTGTTATGTAAGAATATGGTTATTAGAGTGAGTTAAGTCAATCTACATTTGCAACTATTAAGTAAAATGACAGTATTATAGTTTTTTAAAGGTTTGTAACATTAGAATGTGGACTTTTACAGAGAAAGGCTTCACTCATTTTCACACAAAGTTAAAACATGAATAAATTAAATTATATAAAATGTTTGCAGTAGTTAAGACCTCACAAATTCAAATTTAAGAATATTTAATGTCTTTTAAGGCCTTATTGTTGTAACTTAAGACTTTTATGGACCTGTAGACACCCTGCACACACCCTGCACCGACAGCTAAACAGAATGATGTTAACTTACTAACCTGTTTAATGTGCTGCAGCCGGACAGCTAATTAGCTATCTAGTAAGCAAACTGCAAATCTCCCTGATGAAATGTTTGTTTGCTCATCCAGGAACCATACTGCAACACATGCATCCTTGTTTGCTGGTTTGACAGTTAAGCTGAATTTATTTATAAGTTGGATGTGAAGGAAAAATTAGTTTGTTGTTCAAAGTCTGTGGCTCTTGTTTTGTGTCGCAGGCTGCTGTCAGGTTGTTAGTCAGTGTGACCATCTGCTTGTGATACAACTGCTTTATACAAATATGGTTTAAAATGAAACCATTTGATTAGCTGCATGAAAACAACACTTTTCTGCAAATGCTAAAACAGGGAGCACCATAATGAAACCAAACAGTGTTGAATATTAATGTCTCCCTTTTGGGTACAGATTTATATACTGTATGTATATGTATTATGCAGATATGTGTGCTGTAGGAGAATTGTGGAAAATTTAATTTCTGTTTGATTTAACATGAAAATATATGCAGAGTTGTGGAATTAGCATATAAAATGTTGATTTAATATCACTCATGTAAAAGCGAAAATATTTCTAGTTGCATGTTTTTTTGATTTGGAAAAAGGGATAAAGGCAGAAGATCAAGAAAGTAAGCATTTCAAGGACGCTGATAAAAGTCTAATTGCAATGTGAAATCTACAAAATGTGATAATCTGTTACTGTACTGACACCTGATGGTCAGGCACACAGCAGTGACACAGACTCAAGGTCAGTGCATTTGTGTGTGTGTTTTATTTGACTGTTCCTATATAACACGGTGACACTGCAGTGGGCACTGAAGGGGACTGTGTGTGCATCTGGCTACATGTGTGCGCTTGTGTGTGAGGCAACTAATTGCCAATGAAAGGGCGTGTTTTGCAGGGCATCATGGGAAATGGTTCTAGTCAATTTGTTAACAGGCGTGGTGCGTTCTACACGGCTCCTACCAATGTGCTTTATTACTATTACTCAGCCACATCAAAAAGTTTAATCAAAATAAACAATGTCTCTGCTGAGACACATTAAAGTAATATCTCTATTAGACAGGCAATTTCACTGCGCAGTTCCCTTGTGTGTGTGTGTGTGTGTGTGTGTGTGTGTGTGTGTGTGTGTGTGTGTGTGTGTGTGTATCAAAATGTGGGTTTCTGTGTCCCCAAACGCTTGCACGCGGTACATCGAGGGATTACATGATTGAAAGATAAAATTGGGATTTTGAAGTGCTTGTCATAAAGTTGTGATTCTGCATTAATTTTCTTTTTCTGAACATTGTTCAACTCTGTTAGAATACGTTGATTACATTGGGAACATTTTCTACTTTGCGGAAATCCAAGAAGGCGTTTCACTGTGTCCCTCAATATCTGCAGAATTACGTTTCTATTTTCAGGTGTGTAGATTAACAAAAGTACAGCTTATCTCCCTGACACATATTTGCAACTGTTGCATGGATACTCAACAGGATTTGAGTTGATAAGAAAACACATTTTGGCTGCAGATAAAGTGTTAACATACATGGAAATACTGTATATAATATATTAACTGTGTGTATGTGCATAACAGACAAAGTTAAGACACAAGAGCTGAGCTATGTGTGCTACCTACCTTGCGGCTGCCGTCAGTTGACTTGTAGGTGAGCATGTAGTTGTCAATTTCTGTGATTGGCGGTTGCCAGGAGATGAGAGCACTGCGGTGATTCACTTCACTGGCCGTCAGGTTCAGGGGTGCGTCCATGGCTGCCAGGAAGAGACGGAAATATCAATTTAGTGCAAAAGAAGGAATATTTTCAGGATGTTTTCCACATCTATAGCAAACTGTAGTTCTCTACGTTTCCACACACATTTGCAAAAAAGGATTTTCATTTTAACTCATCATATTACAGCTTTTAATAGGTGCTCTGTTGTCAGGGTGGAGTGAATTGCACAAAAAACTCAAGATTTTGTCACAGTTTCCTTCAATAAAATTTGTTGCACAAAACCACATTGTTACGTTTCCTTCGAATGTTGATTTATGTATTCAAGGTTTTCTCCTTACTGTAGCTTGGTCTTATATTAAGGAATCGCTTGAAGTTAGTGAAACCATTGCACAAAACCACCTTGGCAACCAAAGTTAGGAAAAGCTTAAGGTACCTCTGGCTCTGTCTTAAGCGCAACATGGCAAATTTATGTTGATTAATGAAGAACATGAACGTATCCTGAGAAGAGTGTTACATGACTGAGAGAACCCAATGGACACAAGTTAATGATGTGCAATTAATTTCAACACTCTTACCAATCTGCTGAACACTGCAGGGAAGTTGCTGTCAAAGTAATGGGATAAGATAGTGGCGCACTTCTTTAATTTTTAATTTAATAGATCAGGATTCAAGTGCCTGTAGCTGTCCCGTGATCGAGGCTGGTGGGTAAGGGAGATCGTGCCTTTGCAGTAGCTGCTCCAAAGCCTCGGAATAGCCTTACACTCTCAATCAAATGCTCCCCCTCCATTGAAAATTTGAAGACAAACCTTAAAACATACACGTTTTCAATGACCTTTGGTTGTCTACGGTGGTTTTAATATTTTAGTATTTTATAATCTTTTTTACATATGTAGTTGTTCTTACCTGTGTTATTCTGTTTTTTGTTTGTGTACATTTTATATCGCTATATATTTATGTGTCATTGATTTATTTTGTACGACACTTTGATCAACTGCGGTTGCTTTTAAATGTGCTATATAAATAAACTTGATTTTATTTTATTTGTACAATATGAAGATCAGTTTGCTCACAGAAAAATCACCATCAATGTCTAGTTAGTTTGCGATCATGGGAAATAATTAAACCACGCTTTCCCTTATTGGATTCTTGAGAAGTATAATCGTTTCCACCTCTGATCAATTTGGTTTTCTTGTCTTCTTTTCTCCTGCCGTTTGTTTTTACTATCTATAGACCAACGTTGTGAGACAATATCTGCAGATTAACAGGTATCACAGGCACAAGTGCAAGCAAACACA